GTGATGAGCTGGGCTGTGGCATGCGTTCCATGCCAACACTTGACGATCCATAGACACACTTAGCCACCCCTCGAACCTTTCCACGTCCCTGGTAGGCATTTCGACCATGTGCATGTCGATTTGGTCGGCCCTCTTCCGCAGTCACAGGGTTTCACGCACCTTGACTGTGGTGGATCGCACGACCAGGTGGCCGGAGGCGGTTCCCCTGGTATCCACGACGGCGGAGGTGGTGGCCAGGGCATTTGTGTCAACGTGGGTTTCGTATTTTGCTCCCCCCGCTGACATTACCTTGGACAGGGGCCACCAGTTCATTTTGGAGCTTTGGTCTGCCATGGCTGACGGCCTGGGGGTCAAGGTCCACCGCACTATACTATACCACCCACCTGCTAACAGAATGTGCGAGCGGTTTCACCGGTCACTCAAGGCCGTGCTCCAATCTTCCTTAACGGGCGGCAACTCAGTCGACTGTCTTTCCTGGGTTTTGTTTGCACTGCGCGGTTAAGGAGGACCTCTGAGTTTCTCCGGCCGAACTCGTTCTTGGGCAGCCCCTCCGAGTTCCTGGAGAATTTTTGCCTGAGAGCCCCCCTCTGTGTTTCGATACCTCTGTGCCGTCTCTCCGTTCCTCAGGAGGCTCCTTTTCTGTTCCTGGCCCAGTGCACCACTGCCTGGCCGACGTTTTTGTTCCGAGGTCGTTGGACTCTTCTTGGTTTGCAGGCACGATGCCCATCAACCTCCCTTGATGGCCCATATAGAGTTCTTAAACCAGGCCACAAGCATTTCATTTTGGACTTCGGGGGTCGGCAGGAGGTGGTTTCAATGGACCAGCTTAAACCTGCGCACGATCTACCGATCTACCCACCGCGGCCCACCTGCAGCTGGACTGTTGGATTCTGCCTTTTTCTCTGAGGATTTATGTGTTTATCTAACATAAACACATAAATCCTGAACCTCAGTGGGTTAAATATGAACGACCGATCTTTCACTGCGCTGTTCACTATTTAGAGAGGTCTGGAAATGTCAGTGCAGATTTGATCACTTTTGCAGCAAATGACATAGAGGTTGTGTTATTTCTTTCCAGCCTTCAGGCTACTCTGCAAACACATTCACTGTAAGAGGTGGTACTGCTCTTTCATATTTCCTCAAATTTTAATTTATGGTATCTTTGGAGTCAAACCCATTCAAGAAAACAGATAAGACAACAATTTGGTAAAAGGAATAATGAATAGTAACAGAGACTGAGAGGTCATGCCATTTTTTTTAATTACAGAAACCATCTCTGCTGAGTACATTGATTACTCTAGCCCATTCCAAATAGGCCTTAACATTAAAAGCTTAAAATTCCTTTTCCTGAAGGGAAGTTAACTTGAACATGGCGCATAAACATTCATCTCACAATACAGCAGCTATTTACCCAGCAAACCTAGCTAACTAGCTGCCCAAAGTAAGAAGCTAGCCTCTCAGAACATGTTACACTATACAAATTACAATCTCTTTTCCTTTTTGAATACAATGTAGTAACAATGAAGATGATTGTCTTTATCCTACAATGAATGAAAAACATTGTCTGCCCATTTGAAGAAAGCTTGAAGAAAAACCATTTAGCATTCTCCTAGCATTAGCCTTTTTTAATCTTTACATGCTATGCTCATATATCATGTATGCAGTCATCAAATATACGTTTTGCAGATTCTAGTGAACTAGAACAACAAAAAAGGTCATTTACCTGAGTTTTAAACTCAAGACTTGACAAATTAGCTAACAAAGATATTAGCCGGTTTATCTAGCTAAAGTTAAGATTAACTAGCTAACTGATGACTCTTACGGGTAATTAAGCTAAAGCCTTATGAGTTACCTTACCCTAAAAAGACAAACTATGTGGGGGTTTTTTAATATTTATTATTAGGTACACGTTGCTAAAAATAAAGTATATTTCTATGTGCATTTTTTATTTCTATACAGACTCCATTTAAATCAATCATGCCAGCTTTGACTTAAAGAGGAACTATTATGCCCTCTGTTCATCTAAAATATACAGATTCTTTTAAACAAAACTGTTACAGTAAAAAGCCAAAGGCTTCGATTTGTCCATACAATTTTATTTTTTTATTTCCTCGTGTGCTTTCTTTAAATTCTGTGTTCCGGACACTGAATGATTACAAAGTACAGACACTTCTCCTTGGCCAATGAGAACACAGCATCTTTGAGGGCGTGATCCTTAAAAAGACTGCATGTTTCAAACATTTAGCAAAGAGGGGACAGTACAACATAAACAATTAAACTGAAACTCATGTAGAAAACAGATGAATATAAAGCAAATCTACAAAAATAAAAATATAGCGCTAAACATCAGGACAACAGGCCTCATATTAAAGAAGAGAAGCATCATGTGAGTCAACAAAGTGAATGCGAGTACTTCCAAAAGGTTGAACTGTTGCAGCTTAGTTAGAACTTTTTTTTTA